GTCAACTCCTTCCATTACAGCTAGTGAGCTCTTTGGGCTGTTGTTGCATGTTTATATTGCTAAGGAAAGAATGTATTTTAAAACGCCTGATATATTTGTTTGCCATCATGTCTAATTGACAAAAATTATGTAGCAGAAAGCAAGGATTTCAAGACCACTCCTTGATACTGCCCACGATCAGTCTGAATGCCAAAGATGCTACATTCTCCACTCATAAGCAGCATGTTCCATTTGAGGAATCATCTGACTCGGAGTTTGGAATTGTCTGCTCAGATGCCCTTGTCAACCCTTCACAAAGAATCTCCTACCTGAATACTAAGGACTCCGGTTCTTTCTTGGGTTTCAATTACCAAGATGCTACTGATCAACGTCCAGTTCGTCACTTTATTGATGATTGCCCAAAGGATCAATCTAATTGGGCCTCTGTCTCCTGGCCAGGAGAACTGAAATCAGACTGGACACAACTTTCAATGTCTATCCCTGTAGCTCCTTCAGATTTCTCATCATCCTGTTATCCTTCTCTACAAAAGAAACCTACCATCTCAACAGCGAGGCTATCTGATGAGCTTGACCCTATCCATACGAGCTTGGGTGTAAGCAATGATATTGGCGACTCACTTAAAAAGCAGCTAGATTGGTCGCCAGGTTCCTGGGGAAATTTGATGGGTGGTCCATTAGGAGAGGTTTTGACAAGCACCACTATAAGTGTAGGAGCTGGCATGAGCTCGTCTTCTTTGAAAGCTTATGACAGTAGCCCTCAGCTTGATTCTTCTCCCAATGGTGTCCTGCAGAAATCTACCATTGTCTCACTCTCTAACAGCAGTTCAGGGAGCAGTCACAGCGCTTACAACAAGAGGGCACCCAAAAATTCTAGTCTTCCCAATGGAATTGGTTCAGCTATTCCATCTCTTTAAGTGTATAATCGGTATGAAATCCGAGTGTCAGAACAAGAACAAAGCTAGTTCAAGAAGTAGATGGAGGAGAATTCCGAACATTTTAGCATGCTCATTATGTGTCTCTATTTCCTTTTTATTTTATCATATCCCTACTAGAGTTTTAAAGCAGAAAATAGGCTCATATTGGTATATGGCCTTCTATAATGTATGATTTACTCATCTGGATAAGACATCTCAACCCTATTGTAAGCATAAATTTCCAGTTCTTTCTTGTGTAATCCTGGAGCATTTAGATTGATTCTATGTCACCGGAGTTGCAAAAGCAACATGAGGATATGGATTCTAACAATATGATTTTTCGTCTCAAGGGGATGTATGATGAACAATCACCTGTGGAAAGATACGATCTAAGAAATCATACCAGTGCCAAATGTTAGCAGGGTCTTTAATCGGTGCTCATGTATTGAAGTTGATTGGTTATATTGAGAAGTTGTCTTAAATGGGTTCGGTCATGGATCTTGAACAAAATATTGACTTGATTCTACAATATTCACCTAAGAATTATTCATAGTTTATTATGAATTTTAATATAAATAAGCAGAAGTGTACCCTATGTAAGAGAACGACTTGAGCTTAAGTCTGAATCGTCACAAAAGAACTAAGTCCTTGTTTGATTCCCATTTTGGGGGAAATAATATAATTTGAATAGTATATTGATAGAGAATGTGTAGTTAAAAATTAAAGAAGTTTTGAATTTGCGTGTAATATTATTTTATTAAAAAATGTATGATTGAAAATGAATTTTGAAAAAATAAAATTTTAGAAGAATGAGAATCAAACTAAGCGCTAAATAACGAGAGCTTATGCACCAATTTTCTAGATAAAATGGAATTAGGATGTCAATTTCAAACTTTTGTGTGTTTGACAGTGTTATATTTTCCATAGAAATCAAGTTCTTGAATCTCTTGGGAGTTGTAGTTGTCTAGCTTTTGTGGGATGGTGGGAATTGATTTTCCAGGTAGTTGACGTCTTTTTTTTATTTTTTTTAATGGAAACAAATTCTAAGAATTATTGTAAAAAAATATTTCCCGTTAATTGACAATTTTCATGTAAAATAAAGTCAAACGAACATCAAAAGATAAATGATTTTCTTGAATTTTTTATTTTTTTTGTTTTGGCAATGAAAACAAATTTCATTCCTAATATCAGTAAATTAATCTCTTTAATTGACAAATTTCATGTAAAACAAAGTTAAAAGAACACAAAAAAAAAAAAATTATTTCATCATTTCTCAAGTGAAAAATTATACTAATCAAACACAATAATTTACAATTATCAAGAAAATAATTTTTAGGCAATTCAATTTCCTGAAATTCGTTTTCTTTCCACCCAAATTCCATCTTTACAATCAAATGGACCCTTAGTATATTCTGGGTAATAAGTGGTGCCTTTGCCAACTAATTGGCTTCCTTGCGTCCACATTCACAACTTCCAAATTCTATGTATATTTAAGCGATGAGTAAACAATAGCACACTTTCAAATCGATCAATTATCATAGCAAAATGGTACTTCAGTTCAATGAAAATAGTAGAGTACGAGCATAATCATGGAGCAAATTACTGATTTATCTGTATTTATTGTATGTTTATTACACAATATTGAAATTGGCGATATGATAAACAAAATTTTTAACTTCTATTATTTCTCCTCGCCAAACATGACACTAGCATGCCAAGAAGTTAGTTGTTCTTTTGATATTATAAAAGTCGAGACTTGGCACCAAATAATACATGACCTTACATAATCATCTATAAATTCAAACACAAATGAAAATTTGAAAATAAATTGTCGAGACTTCTAGTGAACGTGAATGGACAAAAACAATAAGCCTAAGTTTGAGCACTCCCCCCACCCCCCCTCCTTTTTTCAAATTTTTTTTTTTTTTGGTTGAAAACTAGTTTTGTAATAAAAATTATTAGAGAAAAAGAAAAATGTTTTGGATTTACGTGCAAATTATTTTATTTAGGGAATGTACAATTGAAAATGAGTTTAAAAAAAATGAATTTTTAGATAATGTGGATCAAATAGGGGCTACGTTAACAACATAAGATGTGAGCACTCTTAGTTCTCTTTGATTTTGTCAAAATAAGATTTTTAGTAGATTTTAAGAAAAGTTAATAAAATGTGTGATTAAAAAGTTGATAAAGTTGTGAATCTCATTAAATGTATGGTTAAAATTAATTTTTAACTTTGATTTAAATTTTTATGTACTTTTTTTTTTTTATCTAAATCAAATAGGACTCAAACTCAGTAAACAGTTATAGACAAGGAATAATCAAAGGGAAAATTTTATATCTAAGAGTTTAACTATGATTCATTTTAAAAGTACGAAACAAGTTTTAAAACTTCAAAAATTAGATATTATTAAATTTTATTTATGAAATAATTAATTAAAATTTTTTTATTAATTAAATATATTAAAATCACAATTCTATACAATTTGGTAATAAATTTTCGAAATATTTTGTATATTTACAAATTATTTTTTTATTAAAAATAAAAATTTTTATAGATCACAAATTATTTCGTGATCAGAAATAAATAATTTCATAGGCATAATTTATTCATCGATCACAAAATTAAAAATTTTAAAAGTCACAATTCATTTATCTGTTACAAATCACAAATTTTATAAGTCCGACTTATTTAATGTTCACAAATTATCAAATTAATTGATTACAAATTAATTTTCAATTACAATTTAATAAATTGTGAGTCATAATCACATTTTATATTTGTCGGCTAATTTATTAATTGCAATTAACCAATTTATTAGTCACAAACCCTTTTTGACCCGCTCGCTGCCACCAACACCACATGCACTACAACCATTAGCGGCCACCACTTCACCACCGCCAACAGCGTCAAATCCACTGCCACACCACCTCACCACCACCAAAATGCACCACCAACATCGCCAGATCCACCTATACCACCACCAACAAAAACACCCCAAAAATCGCTTCCACCACCAACTGTAAAACCAAAGATTCATAATCAAAGGTAAAACAAGAGTAACAAAATCAATGTAAAACTACCAATCCAAAACCAAAACCACAACCACCATCATCACCGTCGCTGCATCACCAACCAATAATCACCAACAAAAAAATAGGTAGGAGAAAAAACCAGACCCCAAACCCCAAATATCACCCACAAAAACAATGCCTCAACAGCCCTGCTCATTGTCGAAAGTTGTCGTCACACGTAGCGCCTCTTTGCCACGTGCATGATTGAGCGATTGAGAGGTACAGAGAGTGATTGCGCGCGGCTGCTATGTATTATCGGAGTGCGATCACATTTTCGCTACGGTAAGTCAACGGTAGGCGACAGAGAGTGGAGAGAAGAGATAAGGGGGAAAGAGTAGAGATGGCAATTTGAACCGTCAAAATCGAAAACCGCGGTTAACCGAACCGAAGGGGGCGAAAAAAATCGAACCGATGGTGCAACGGGGTGGATATGGTTTTGATTTTAATGAACCGGTTCGTAATGGTGCGGGTATGGTATTTACGTCGTCGAACCGAAACCGAACCGATTACCCGCTAAAAAAAACACAATTGAATTAATTATGGGCTTTACACTACTTTTATATCCAGACCAAAACAAAATCCCTCCCCTCCTCATTATATCCACCTGACTCATTTGACCAGCCCACTTACCATTAGCCTATAATAGCATTAGTATGACGGTATATAAATGCAAACCCTACTCTCCACAAACCACAAACTCACGCACGACTCCACTGCCTCTACGGTCCAAGTCGTCGTCGCTTCCGAAAATTTGTTACATTTGTTAGCTATTCTATTACTGTTGATCATGTAAAAACAGAGTTCGATGTTTTTCTAGACGTGCCAGTATTGCCAAAGATGAATAGGAATCAACTTTGAATGCTGATCTATGCTAGTAAGACTTGTAGAGAAGAATGAATCAAGTAACTTCGATGCACAACAATTAAGAATGAAGGAAAAATTTATTATTATTATATTTATAATATTGTTTGTTAAATTTGTATTTTACAATTGAAATTAGGATAATGTTTGTATTTACGTTTGGAATATTATTTGCATTTTCGTTTGGAATATTGTATTTTTGTTTTCATTGACTTTTTTCATAAATTGTTTTATATCAATTTGACAGATGAATCTATAAAAAATAATTTATTTTCGTGGTTATTAACCGAACCGAACCGTGCCAAACCGAGATACGAACCGAATCAAACCGAACCGATTTACGTGGCTATGGTGCGGTTATGGTATGGTCAAAAATTGGTGGTGCGGTTATGGTTTTGGCCGAGCCGACCCATAACCGAACCGTTGCCAACCCTAGGAAAGAGAGGGGGAGGGGAAAGAGATGAAATTGTTTTAGGGTTTGAAATTGGATGGGATGAGGGTTTTACCGTTTTGGTGAGTGGTGGGTTTGTAGATTTATTAGATTTTATAATATTAAAATGTTTAAATTATTATTTATTTTTGAACAAAAGATATTCAAATCTGATTTTTGAATTGGTCATTTTAAAACTTTTGGTAGATGTAATTTCCATAATCAAAAGAACCGTCCGCAGGCCAATTCCATACTGAATTAGGACAGGCTAGCCTTTGTAGTAGAAATCAATTATAATTTTTGGGTAATCAACGGTACAAACATTGCATATAACCATTCATAGAACTATTTCGCGTATTCTTAACTAATACCTCGTGTGGGGTTTTAGTAGCTAGCAGTAAGGACGGGATCGGTACCATTTTGAAATACTCTGATACAAGTATTGTTTTTTTATTTTTATTTTTATTTTTTTTATTTTTTTTTGGTATATCTAGATATTCCAGCTTACACTAGACTAAATTTTGGACCCCTAAGATCCTTGCTCCCAGAACTTTGAAGGGGGTAAATCGCGGGTTATGCCTCAACTGGATCACAGGTTTCCCCACAGCCTGTACACTTCTGCGCACAAGAGATCCTC